TTTGTGCGTCAAAAGATGATGGCAGAGTGAGTGCGGCATGTCGACGACGCCAACATTCTGTCTTGCATTTTGACTCCACCAAGGGATATCCAGGAGAGGGACCAGACTATGCTTCTCTTGTTTCGGCTAACATTGGGTCCCTTAATACCAATCATTTGTGGAAATCATGGGGTGCCGACATCATCTGTCTTCAGGAGACACGAATTGGCAAGAATAATGTCCGTACTTCTGTTCGAAATATTGAAGCCGTTGGTCTCCGACCAATCCTTGGGCAATTGTTGCCAGGGCTGTGGCATGCCAACGGCACTACAAAAACGCCATGTGGAGGTACTGCCATTCTTGGTTCTGACACAGTCATCACTCCGTTTGAGGCCCATCATGACCAAACTGGTGTGTTCAACAGTCTGTTTCAAACAAAAAGGTTCGTTGCTGCCTGGTATCAAGTGACCCCTAAAATCAAGGCATTGGTCTTGAATGTGTACGCTTGCACAGGTGCTTCAAGCGATTCGAGGGTTCATGGTGAAAATGATAGGTTATTCTCTGACATCCTTACCCTGGTTGCCCAGTTTGGTGATATTCCTGTCATTTTGACCGGGGATTTCCAAGCGGTTCCTGCCACGTATCCTTCGTTGGCTGGGGCCATGAACTTTCATGGATGGGTTGATCCGCTCACTTCAACTGATGAAATGGGCTCCATGACCCGGCCTTACACATACTCCAAAGATTGTTGTTTTTCAGGAGCTGATGATGGGTGTTCATCCATTGATGGTGTTCTTCTGAACAAGGTCGCGTTCTGTGCGTTGCATGATGCACATGTGTTAGAGCACTTTGGGCGCCAGCACCGCCCCATCAAGGTCACCTTTCGATGGGATTCCTTGCTTCAGAATGGGTATGTCCTCCATAAATTTGCTCCGATTGACACTTCGCATGTTCAAGTTGGCCCGTGGTGTGATGGGCCCTCCCCTCTATGGCGGGATAAGTTTGAAGATTCGTTTCATGCAGCCCCTGACCATGAGGCCAAATGGAAGATTGTGAACGAGTTTTTCCAACAAACCCTGTTGGACCAGGGGGGCCAATGGGGGTCGGGTCCCAAAACTCGTGCAGCACCGCCACAGTTTGTTAATAAACGTGTCTGCCCGAAGCAACTGGTGACTCGATGTGCTGCAACACAGTTTTCCCTTGACCTGTATAAACTGATCCGTAGGCTTGATGAGCTGCTCACAAGACTTTCTAGAGAAGGTGGGTCACCCCAGGATGTCTTCAACACACGAAGGCTTGCGCAGAAGTCCTTCAATTGCGTACACCACCTGGCACCTTCTATTGCGTGGACCATTCCGGAGTGCCCTTCACTGGTAGAAGTGTTTTTGGTGCGAAGATGGGCTGAACAATTTGCTACCACGCTGGATAGCCGACTTCGTCTCAAGAGGATTCAGAGCTGGAAACGCAAGATTCATGAGTCGGCTAACAATGGGTGTGCTTATATTTTTCAGCACCTTCGCCAAAAGGCACAAGATGAACCCCCAAACTTGGTCCAGAATGAAAATGGTATGATCATCACCCAGCCAGAGGAAGCGATTGCCGCGCTTAATTCTAAGTGGGATGACGTTTTTGCTTCTAATGTGTTGGCCGACCATCCCATCAAGATGCTTGAGGTTGTGTGGCCTTACATTCATGACATGCAAGTCCAAGCTGAATTGCCCCCGATCTCGGCTAAAGATCTTTACCAGGTGATTCAAAAACGGAAGCCACATGCAGCCCCCGGCCTTGATGGGTGGCGAACACAAGAATTGCAAGTACTGCATCCTTCGTGCCTCCATGTCTTGGCTTTGTTCTTCCAATCGCTTGAATGTTCCACTGACCCGTTACCTCGAGCACTAGTCACTGCCAAGCAGGTCATTTTAAATAAACCTGGGCCTGCCTCACCCATGAACAAACGATTGATCACAATCATTCCCCCTTTGCTTCTTGCATATACAGGGGCGCGGTATGCCCAATTGCAGCAATGGCAGCAGCAAGCACTTCCTCCTGCAATTGTCGGTGGTGTCAAGCACCGTGCCATGTCCAGCCTCTATAATGAAGTGCGCCTTGAACTGGACTTGGCCAATCTTGAACGTGAGACTGTTGTGGGTATTAAGATTAAATCAAAGGCGTTTGATCGTATCATTCCACAGTTTGCTGCATGTTTGTTTATTGCTTTTGGCATCCCGGCACATGTGGTCAGCATTTTCGTGCGGTTTTATCAGGGCTTACGCAAGCACATGGCATATAGGAATTGGACAACTCCTGTGTTTACCACCCACCCTAATGGAGTGGCACAAGGCTGTTCTTTTTCCATTCTCGCTATGAATGCCTACAACAAAGTCTGGTATCACCTAATCGAAAACTTACCAGGAATATCCGTGAGAGCCTACATCGATGATGCATATTTGTGGTGCCGCATTCTTAATTTGCATCACTTGCAGACAGCTATTCAAGTCACGCGTGTCTGGGATGCACTGGTCGGGCAGAAGTTGAACCCCGATAAGTCAGCCCTTTGGAGCAATAATAAAGGTGGTAGACAAAAGCTTAAACTTGCTTTCTCTGACTTCCCTGTAGCCACAGAATTTGAAGTTTTGGGCACAAGAGTTTACACTGCCTTCAACTCTCCGTTTGGGTTTTCTGACAAGTCTCTCAGACAGGCCTTGGTTGACATTGATAATATTGCGGTCCTGCCAATTCCTCGGGCAACCAAATCGTTCCTGATAGGAGCCAAGGTCATCCCACGATTGACATATGGCGCTCACATTTCCCGTATTCCCAAGAAAGCACTTGATCAAATACAGAATGCAATTGTGCGATGTTTGTGGTACGGACGGCCCAAATGGAGATCTAAATGGATGGTACAGGCCGTCCTTTCCAAGCCACATCGCACTGAACCTACATTCGCTTGTGCGTATCAAGTTATCATTGAAGCTTTGCGATCTTGTTCTCTTCAGCGTGAGTTACTTCCAAAGCTGTTGCGTACCTTTTCAAGCCCGCACAATTTGCCCCACTCGCTTGCCAGCCGGCTTCGTGTGGCCTGTGACACACTTGGAATTGAGATCGATCAGGGATTAAAGCTTTCTGTATTTGGGTCCCAACCTATCAGTTTTGAACAACTCACACCGCAAGATGCTCGAAGGGCCCTTCAGGCAATATGCCGGCATGCTTGCTACCTTAAGGCCTCCACCACTCCTCGTAAGGACTTCCTTAAGCCAAAAGGTGTTTTTGACCACCAACTGTCCAGTCTTTCTCTTGCTAAGAGTCACGATGTTACTGCTGGTGTTCCGAACACTGTGCGTTTTGAATCCGTAGTGGTTGGATGTTCTCTCACGAATGACCGCATGGCAGCCACAGGATGGGCTGAAACTTCCGTGTGCCGGTTTTGCAAACAAACCAAGGAATCAATGCCGCATCTTACAGCGGAGTGTGATAGCCTTCATTGTGAAATTGGAGTGCCAGTTGCACATCAACTCGGAGAAAACTTTATGATGCTTGGCCATGTGGAGCATCCGCTCTTCATTGCTCGCAAGCGCCTGCTGCACCAGAAGTCAGACGAGCTGGTGTTTTCAGAATCCTTTGATGTCGGCGAAGTCACCCAGCTGTGGACAGATGGGTCAGTTATTCATGGCGAAAACTTCTGGTTGGCTACAGGAACATTTGCCATTATTGCAGCTGATGGAAGCATGGTCTCTGCCGGCATGGTGAATCACTGGGCCTTGAGTTCGTTTGTTACCGAGTTGTGGGCTATTTTCCGCGCTTGCTGTCAGGCAACCACTCCGGTGATTGTGTATTCAGACTGTCAATCAGCTGTCAAACAGGTTCATGACTTCCTGCTGACTGGGTGTGCTCAGGCTACATGGCTATGTCAGCCATGGTGTGCCAGGTTTGGTGAATTGGTGCAGTTGAGGCGGCAGGTACACCCGACGCCTTTTCAAGTTCAGTGGATTCCGGCTCATCAGCTTGAAGAAGTTGCTGACAATCTGCTGACAGAGACGCAAGCAGCTACATGTGGAACAACAGTACAACACATTTTATTGAACAGGATTGCTGACCGTGTTGCAAAGAGATTGGCATCCCGTTTGGCTCCGGTGTGCCCGGAGATCTACCGCGAGGCGAAGCATGCCACATTCCGACACCAACAATGGTTGGTACAGCTTCATTCCTTGCTGCCCACAAATGCTGTGCACACCAACATTGATAGTGAAGCGGCCGTACAAGAAGTTCCAGATACAATGTCAGAGGCACAAGCCATGGCTCTGTACCCACAGTGGCACTGGACTACGCCAGTGACAAAATTCTCATGGAAACCAAAGATTCCAGATGTGATGGTGGCACCGAAGTCTTGGAAACACGGGCCAGCAACATGGATCAGTGTGCGAACGTTTCTCCAACAACTTCAGTGGCTAAGTCATCCTGCTGAATCCTACTCATTCTGTGAGCTGGCGGTCGCATTTCATTCTGCGGGTTTTCGTGTTTCAGGGGATCAGGAACAGATCACATTTCGAGACATATACAAGATTCTTCGTGAAGCTCTGTTGTATTTGCATAAGAGTTCGGAAGCGCAACCCTTTCCTGGCTCATTCAATTCAACAAAGCCTCGAGCATGTGGCCGCATCCTTCCACAGGGGTGCATCGATGGTGCGTGCCCCTTCGTGCTCCCATCGGCACGCGTTCTTTTAGCACATCTCTTTGGAATAGGTGCGGATCGGCGCCTTGAAACATGGGCCATCCCTGTACATGATTGGTAGTGCATGATGATCCTTTTCACCTGGGGAATTCCCGTGTTCGGACCAGAGTGTCCGGCACGACATCGACGTGGACCGATGTGCGAGTGGTAGTAACATATTGTAACATGTCACTTGTGTCACTTCTTTCCAACACAGACAGCAGATAGGGACCATTATATACGGGACTCCAGATTTGAGATGCTTTGAGCCAGCCCCTTCGAGCCTGAAGCCACTGACACCGGTCGCTTGCAGGCTCTGTCTCGAATTCCTCGTGCATTCCGGAATTCTCGCAGACCTCGAGTGGCCTGGCGTTGATGAGAGCGGAGAGTTTTCCAAGTACATGGCAGCAACATGCACAAACCAAAACCGTTTGGGGATTCACCCCACTCACCCCGTTGAAACGGGGCCAAAACGTCCAACTTCCTGGAACTGGCATCGGTCATGGGGTCTTGTCGTCTCCAAGGTGGGTCTTCCAATCAAGATCATGCAGAAGTGCCCGCCGTCTCGTTCCAACTCTCGCTGTTTGGCCTTCCAACCGACGAGGATCCCGCGGTGATCCGGCAACAGCTGATTGCCACTGGGCAATCGCCCGTGCACAGTGGGTCGGTTCCAGTGAGGTGCTTCGAGGAAGCCTAGGCCCTATAGGGCCTAGTTGAAGTAACCCGGTTCGGATTTGGCGCCATCTCTCATTGCCAAGGAGTTGTTCTTGGCCACTCTGTCTGCTGCCACACGGATGGACCCTTCAGCGATTTCCATTGAGCCTTTCCTGCAGAGTGGATGTGACACCAAACCTGGAAGAAGAGCGACACCAGTGAAGATCGGCCCCTGAAGAGAGCAGATTGGCACTCCCTGCGGCAATCATCCGTGCGACAGTTTCCCCGATGTTCCCCGATGTCCCCTTGGTGCTGACCAATTGATGTCATACCTACAGACAAGACATGGCGGCGTCTTGTGGGTTTAGGCCTTGCTCAACCAACACTGCCAGAAAGATCTAGCTCAAGGGTACCAGGGCGGTCTCAGATGATTTTCCTTCACCAGCCGGATGACATTGTCAGTGTCAACTTTCTAGGTTTTGGGTTGGAACATGGTTCTTGATGGTTGCCAGATTGTCCACCTCTGGCCGAGGACTTCCTCACCGACACGGAGAACGCCGCGAACTCCAGCAACGCCTCGGACGAGACGGCGAACGCCCCGGGCCGGCGACTCCAAATTGACACTGAGCTGAGCTAAGCTTGTTTGACTGGTGGGATCTTTAGGAAAGCAAGGGTGTCAGCCACAAATCCATCTCATGATCCGGAGAAGAAGCGGAAGCTAGCAGCAAAGAGGCAAGGAGGATATATATATATATAATATACACCAAGATATTTGCTTTTCAAAGATGTGTTTGCATGTGTGTTGCGGGTTCGGAAGTCACATCTCGCACCGGGCACCCCCTTTGGGATTCAGTTTTCAACTGGGGGTGTCACCCCGAAGGATTCATCCTCCAACAGACTGGGGGTGTCGGGGATGAGGACGGGACTTCCATTCGATCCTTGGGACCCTGAGAGCCTCCTGCATGCACACACATGTACCATGTACAGCAGCACTCTCAAACCTCTCAACATCCCTCAAGCATGCCAACAGACTGGGGAAAAACATGGAAAAATACAAGCACTGCGATTCGATCTTTCTTTCATGTCCATTTTTTGAGCAATGCCATTCTTGAGGGTTGCTTCGCTGATCAGCTTGCCTTCTGTGAGGATTTGTCCAGGGTGGTCTTCACTATCAAGACGAGGACGGAGGAGGAAGCAGCCACGACGGTGTCTGACTTGGATGCGCCCTGACTCACATGGCTGAATGAACGACAAAGATGTAGCTCACCGTGACCTATAGCGAATCTCATGGAGAGGGCATGTTTTGTGGTCTGTTTGAGTAGCTTGAGGCATCTCCCTGGCGCCTGAAAGCTCTCCTCTGCCCAGGTGTCCGCCGTGACCAACGAGATTACGAGCTCGGTTCAGGAGAACCCGCCGCTGGGTCTGAAAAAACCCGACGGGTGAACCTTTCTGCGTCGCTCCGGTTCGGTTCGGGAGAGGTTTGTGGCTCGCCCTGAAACCCCGCCCCTTGGACATCAGTTTCATGGGTTTGTTTCCTTCAAGATATCACGAAGGCCAACTCCAACTTTGCTCAGTTTGGGACGCAGGTGCTCTGTTTCGCATTCCTTTTTGTTTTGCCTAAGGACCCTGGGCGATGGCATCAATGTGATGGTGACGAGTCCACCTCAAAAGACCTCCACCACGGTGACCTGTCCCATCCGGCGCTCCATTCCGCCAGGCCAGGTGCTCGTGGCCGTCAACGCCGGCCTTTGGGAGGTGGAAGATAGGGGAGGAACTCCTCCACCTTGGTTCATTTGGGTCTTGTGATGGGGTGTTGGGTCGTTTTTCTGGTGCTTTCGGTGAGGGAAATTCAACCAACATGGGTCCAATTCAAAGGCGGGATTCTGTGTGGCGATCCTTCTCAGCTTCCAGAAGCCCGGTCTGATGATGCGGTCGGGAGATGGGACTGAGTTAGGAAGGGAGGTGACCAATAAAGGACCCGACCTACACCCAAGACCATGGGTTTTCTTTATATGAGCTGCAGTCACCCACTATGAAGAGGATGAAGAGGGCTTGCAGTCACCCAGGGCTTGTTCTCGTATCGGTCCTGACGCTTGGGCCGGTGACGGTGTTCCAACTCGCTCTTTGGATGATAGGTGTCCCCATCCAAAGTGCGGCGGAATGCCAATGCAGCCCTGGATTTGGCATCGACCAAGTCACTGGTGCTTGCGATCCCTGCATCCTCGGGGAGTACAAGGCAGGACGAGAGGGCTGGTGTTCGGGCCGTTTTTCGGGTACCGACAAAGATGGGTGAGTGAGTTGCTGAAGCTTTTGGAGCGAACAGTTGAGATACATCTTGTTTTTGTGTGTCTGTTTGTTTTTGCTTCTTTTTTTCCTTCTGTTTTTCTTGAAGCATCATGTACTCGGGTTGTTCGGCCGTTTCCGGCCTGCAGGACAACATCGCAGACGCGGTTTGTGATCGATGTCCATCCTTAAGGTCGACTCAGCAAAGGGGCTCCACATCTCTCCAAGACTGTGTGTGTGAGGCGTGTCTCCGGGTCGCGCGGTGTCCAAGATGTTTTCTGGGACAATTCGTGTGGGGTCAAAGTGAAAGGGAAGGGGATGTTTTCATTAACAGGATGTGCAGCCGTGCCCCAGCTTAACAATCCTTTCCTTTGCAACCACTGGGGCACATGAAATCAAAGCTCGTATGTTTTTTGCCCTCACAAGCGTTAAAGGTCGTGCCGTTTTCAGACCAGCTTCGGCCACTGAAGCCAAACATGGCAAGTTTGAGGAACCTTTTTCTGTGTGGTTGGGAGAAGGTCGCGGAAGTGACTGGCAAGTTAGGTCGAAGACCCTGCGAAGGTAGAAGAGCATGAACTCTCACACTGAGACTTTCGTAGAGTCTGTGAGATGAGATTGCACAAGCACTTTTCGCCAAGGTGGCGCTCGAGCAAGCAGGCTGAAAACCAGCTTGATAAGCTGGCGCATAACTAATGCCGGCCGTGGTATATATATATATGTATTATCTAGACACGTATAAAAAACACATATATGCACTCCGGGCAAAAAGTGCAATATGAAGTAGAGCCGAGTGGCGTCTAACCGTCAACAACGCACTCAAAGAAATCCAAGAGACCCAAGATCCAAGAGATCCACAGTTTCCACATTTGGACTCAAGTTCCGTATCAAATGCGTGACTGCCTGAGCTGTCTTGCCTGTTCTGCAGCCTGTGCAGAGCAGCAATGCCACCATCCATACTCGCATACAAAGTGTGGTCAATATTCAGACCATGTCTAGGTGCATGTCTAGACACATCTATCTACACATGTACCCTCCAGCGTCCACTCCTGGTGGACTCTCCACTCTCTCGCCCCTTCGAAGGCTGGGCTCTTTGAAGCTGAGGGTGGCATTTGCTCGGGTTGCCCTGAGGGCCACTACTGCAACCTGTCGGGGGACTGCGTTCCGGTTCGGGTTGTGCGTTTCAGGGTCCGCCTGCGCGGCGGGGTGCACCTGCAGTGAACTTTTGAGCTGGGACAAGTTTTCATCTACGTGCTCACTACTAGTCCAAGTGCAAAAGTGCTTTCTTTGGGGGCTCCTGTAACACTGCACCATCTATGATAATCGCAAGATTGATCAAGATTGTCATCCTCCTAGAATGCCCCGTAGTGACGAAGAGGGAGGGAGGAAGGGAGGAATTGGGACGGTCTCAAATATGGTACTCTGATAGACCAGCTTGTGTTTATGACGACCCGCCGGCGCCTGAGGTGATGGAAGTGGCTTCAAGACTTTGTGCCCGCCCCACTCGACGACCCCCAACGAGAATCAGCGAGGGATGGCGAGTGACTGCGAATGCACTGCCGGCTACTTCTACATCTCCAATGGTTCCTCGATGTCAAAGCCAGGGAGCATCCGGGAAAACTTCAAAACTTCCAAGGTTTATGATTGGATGGGTTGTGAAGGGTAGAAGATGGTAGAAGGGCCCCCAGTGATGGACTGGATGGGAAGAAAGAGCTCCCAGGTGCCGTTCATGACGGGGTGTCTCTAATGCATCCAATCCTCCAAATTCAATGACATGACCGTTTTCGAGGTGTCTATGGGTTTCGACCTGTTTCTACCGGGGAGTCCCTGTTGGCCGCCCGCAACTCCGCCCTGAGGTTCGGACCAAACCGTTTGTAAAGCCTGTGACCGTGGCCGTGGCTCGGCTGTGGAAATCCGTGCAGTCCCGTGCGGTCCGTTTCGGCCGGAAGACTTGAGACTTTAAAAGGTTGTGGTGCGGGCCACATTCTTGTATATATGTATATGTATAAATATAGTCTTAGATTCTTAACGGCCTTTTAAACACTTCCTTTTTCATAGGCCCGCCCGCCCGCACGCACACACACACACACGCATACATACTGTACATATTAACACACACACAGATATATATAAATATATCTGTGTATATATATATGCATTACACGCAAATACAATTCATAATGTCATGCCTCCTGGGCAATCTCCTGATGTGCCCTCAAAAATTTATCTGCGACCATTTGGAACCTTCGGTGGCTCCTCACACCGAGGTTACAAGCCCAACCTGGGCAAGGGTCCCGGCCAGTGCCCCTTGACCTGCCCGGCGAATGCCATTACCGAGCCGGCGGCCTCCAGCTTGAGCGATTGCTTTTGCTTGCCCGATTTCTATGCTGACGTGGAGGAGAGCACGGGCCAACTCGCCAGGCGAGGGATGGAGGGGAATGGGGTCATGGGGTCACGAGGATTAGGGTCGAAAGGTCGAGAATCCTACTTTTCTGTACTGCCGGAGAGGCTGCACATGGAGTTGCTCGGTCGTTTGTCTTGGATGGAGAGTGGTCCAGAAATCGCCCCTGAGCCACTCTCTTCGCACTCTTCCATGAACTGACAAGGTGTCGCAAGACTCAGGGCAGCCCTACACACACTTAAAAATTGTTTCACGGATACTTCAGCGCATGAAATGATAAAGGTTGCTCATCCAAAAGATCAGGCCTTGGACCATCGACGAGCATACGTTGTGCATACATGCTTTTTCCACTCTCGGCATTTTCAATCTTTGCACCTTGACCTTTTCCTTTGATCACTTCGTTCGCTCTGAACTCTCTCCTTCGTGTCACCAGGTGCATCAGCTGCACCTGGGAGGGGCTGCTCTGTCGAGGAGGCTTCGAAAATCGAAGCGCCGCCGCCCCCAGTGCCCCACGCGTCCACGCGCTGCCCATCGCACGGCGCCTCGGACGAAGATGCCGGGAAAACAGGAGAAGTGCAAGAAATAGAAGCGATTGATTGAGAGATCAGGAAGCAGTTATTGACAAATCAACACAGTTAGTTTGCCTCCACATGCGCTACAGCCGTAGAGTGCTGTGGTTTGTAGTTAAGTCTCCCTAAAAATGTGGAACCAAATCAATAGTGTGAGCTATCCTGGAGTCCAGTTTGTAGTAGCTTCCTAGTTTGTTAGTAGCTTACTGCTCCCTTACTTATTGAAGTAGGCGCCTACTTATATACAATTAGTAGTAGGAGTGGGCTTTAAACAACTTGGGACAGACGCGCCTTTGGTCAAACTATCCAAAAGCTTCGAATTGTTGAGCATCCTAGCAGACCACTTACTACATAGTTTTTTCATTCTTTTGGGGGGATGTTCACTCTTCACTAACGCTTCTTTTGGGGTTGGTGTGAGATGACACTGAAAGAAGGATTGCAGGTCAGGAGATGGAACTCTCCCAAGGGGTGGTGATTGGCCCCACCGTTCTGGCTACCCCTCCATTCACCACCCTAACATGCAACTCTTGGGGTTTGCTTTCCCTTGGGTGGACGGATCGTCCAACTAGCGGTATGGGTACTGTAGTGGGGGCTCCCGCCAGGCTGCAGGTGGGAGAAGTGTTACACTCGCATTCGACCACAAGATGGGCAAAGATAGAAATACATTTTGAACAACCTGTTTAAAGTCAACAAAGTTGTACAGTTATACAGTTACACATGCCATGTCATACGATATATGGTCTCAGCTTTTACATGCTTTTACTTGCACGACGAACTGACCACCGCGGTGCCGTCAGAAATGACACCTCCCGCACCTGCCGTTGAACGGGCCTTCGTTGGGGCACGGTGCGAACTTGGTGTGCTTGAGGACCGGCTTCTACCAAACAGGCGTCACCACTGCGGTGGCCTGTGATGTCCAGTTGGAAGATGGAAGCTCTGCCTGCCTTGGGGGCGAGCCCTGCGTGATGGCGCGGGTCCTGGTGGATCCACCCAGCTTGTGCAATGGACGAGAAGGAGTGGCATGACCAGGGTCTTGGGGCCGGGGCGTGACCAGGATGTATGCCCCCCTCTCAAGGTGCATGGCGAAACAAACCAACAGGGGTTTATACTTCATCATATTCATTTGGATTCTCATTCCTGCCTTTGAACGCATGACTTGTATGACAGACCGAGGGTTACAATCAACCTCTGATCCACAAAGGTCGATTCTCTCCCAAAAACTAGGGGAATCCAGTCTTTTTCAGGTTCTTGGTGTTTTTCATGTCATGAAGGTAAGAATGTATCAGAAGGTAGATTTGGACAATGTTGGACCTGTCCATTAGTTTTGGCCGATTGGAGTGTTCGTTTGGGAGTTCCGTGGGGAGGGGCTCGGGTGCCTGCGCTCAATCCTGGAAAGGATGCAAGTTTCAAAGTTTCAATTACGACATCAGGAAGCACAGGGAAGCACAACCTTTACTACTACTCTAGTATGATGTGGATCTCGGTCGTCGAGGCATGCATGCTGTCAGACGGTTTTTCTGCCAATCAAGTGCATGAGCCCCACCCTACCATGCCTTTTTTTGAGGGGGTTGTCCGGTGGGAGGAATGCGAGACAATGGCTGTGCAGAAGGCGTGGCGGGAGTTGAAGGCTGATGGCGGCAAGAGGGACGGCGGGAGGGGACATATGGCTTTTCCTTCAGGCAGATGTTTGCAAGAACATTGAGTTCTTTTCACTTTCATTATAAGGAACAAGAAGCTACTAGGGGCTCCTGGCATCGCTACTAGTAACAAGAAGCTACTAGGGGCTCCTGGCATCGCTACGAACGGAGCAAGAAGCTACTTTAGTGGCGTGAAGTCGATTCTCGGATGAGTCCTTTGTGATCGGTGATCCATTTGTGCCAGGAAGCTCCGGAACCTTGTGTGGCCAATGTCCTCCGGGATATTCGCGGGACAGCTATCCGGACCTTTGCCAAACCTGCCCCGCTGATCCAGTCAGTGTGCTTGCGGCCACTGGACAGCGGAGAAGGAGAGCGGATGATTTCGCAGAGATGGCGGAGCAACCAAGAAAAAAGTAAATAAACCTATGTATAGTTTTTGTGTATATATATACATACTATATTGTAGAAATGGTAGCGACGGCAAGGCAAGAGAGGAGTATCTGGAAGATACGTGGAAATGAGATTCCACCACAATCGCCCTTCACTAGGCGCACTCTTTTCTCATCCCATCGCGAGCGCAGCGAGTGTCATGGCTACCAAGGGGCCCCTTGTAGAGGCACAGCCAACGGCAGCGGGAAGCGGAATTCATAGTCTTCAACCTGGCAAGGTGCACGATCGTCCGATCACCCTTCCACTTTCACACGCCCTCATTCGGCGTTCGGTGCCGTTGCAGCTCTCCCAAGGTTTTTCGAACGATCACACCTCCCTCTTGTATCCCGAGGGCTTGGCAAACACTTTCGGGTGCCAATCCATGTACTCCAAGTAGGCGGCCAAGTCAGGACCTTGCGAGCTAATCGACTTTCCAGCATAGGTCTTGAGGATCCAGCTCAGGTACTGGGTCACTTCAGAATCCGTGTAGCTGGCCTTCACGACGCTCTTGAAGGTGTAGCCATGGTTGGCATACTTCTTCATGGTGACTTTGGTCTTTCCCCACTCTTCAAAGGAGGCGACATCGCTCGGCAACTTCTTCCCTTCTCCATGGTCAATGTGACCAGCCTCGGCTACATCCCTTGGGATTCCTTCTTCAACCAACTCCTCGATCACATCCCAATCGAGGTCACGGCCACGCTTCGAGGCATCGGACATAGATCCGGTCGGCAAAAGACCATGGGGGTCTAGCTCTGAAAGCAAGCTGGCCACGTGTACACGACATGGGAGCAAATGCTTCCTAAGCACTGGATCATTCAGCTGTTTGTTCACCGCAGCACGGGCAAACATGCGGCTGAGTTCCATCATCTCAGAGCCATTCAGTGGCTCGTATGCATCAGCCATTGCCGGGGATTTTGCACACTTGGCATTGCGGCTCATGGTGGCTGACAAAAGCACAAGAGCTTTCACACGCTTTGCTCAAATCGCAGGCTTGACTTGCTAGTCAAAATTGCGGTGAAAAATAAAACAATGAATTCTTCAGCAGCAAATGTGAGTGGTTCACACGCACTGCTCACTGCCATGAAACCTAAGGCTTGCTTAACAAGTCATGTTTATGGCTTCGACTACAAATAAACACTCATGCATGAGATGCAATCACTCTTCAGTGACAACATCGCTGGACCCTTGGCTTTTCTTCTCTTTCCGGCCGGATTCCTTACTGGCTTTTATTTGATACACTAGATTTTCAAGAAGGTCAAACAATGGTTTTGAGTCTCCTTTCAGTTTTGTGAGGCAATCGGCTGCCATGCCAAGATTGTTTGTCCAATACACTACAATGTTCTGGTTTTCAAGTGTTTCTTTGGCAATAGCGTAGTCGATTTGAAGGCGTCTTTCGACCGAGATTGCTGATGAACAACAGCTTCTAGTTACAGCATCGTAGAATCCTTTTGAGTCAGTCACTAATGCTGATATATTCACAGGTTTGCTATTTCGAAAAAACTCTTGGGGATATACCATCCAGGGTTTCTGCTAACAAGGCTTGCATTGTTTCGATGGCATCCAATCCGTTTTGTCCTGAGAGCGTTTCGGCAGCAACGGAACTGCGGACCTTTCGCCTCAACTTTTTGGAACTCCAGTCAAGGAGCCATGTGCAGGCAGGCTTACGCTCGAGGATGTGTGGTGTACTTAAACACAAAAGATATCCACCCTGAGAATCTCCGTTATCACGGGTTCCCCATCCTGCGTCGGCTATGCACAAAAGTCTCCAATCTTTGATATCAACATGACTGGGAAATTTAAGGCATACGCGTTTTTCCTTAAGCTCTCTCAAGGCCTTATTATATAGATTGACATGCGAAACAAGTCCATGATCTTGAACACCTTGGAGGTACGATGACAGAAAGGCTTGATCAGGTCGGGTTGCGTTAGACACCCATGCGAGTTGTCCAGCACAAGCTCTCAAGATTGTCGGATTCTTCAACGGGGTTGATGCAATTCCAAGAGGCTTTGTGGCAACAGGTTCAAGTGCATCTATATAGCTTTCTTGACCAATCTCTATGTCATACGTTGTTGGGTTTTGTCTTATCTCGATGCCTGTGTACCTTATGGTGAATGTCCGATAATCTCCAAACGGCAGTTTGGTTCTAAGCTTGTTCAACACTTCATCCATTGCGGGGGTTCCACCACCTAACAGGTCATCCACGTGAATACCACATATACCACAAAGTTCACCTTGTAGTCTAAGAGTATAAAGGCAGGGATCCAACTGGCTTACAGTCAGTCCTACACCAGCTAATTCTCTGGACAAACGAAGGAACCATGCTCGTGGTGCTTCTGCTAATCCGTACGCGGCTTTCTCTAATCGGAATAGGTCTTCTGATCCAAGATTCATCCACTTGCGGATCTGCTCAGGGGGACGAAAGTAAATGCCACGCTGAGAAGCATCACCACTCAGGAAGGCAGTCTTTATGTCTGCGCCCCAAATTTTCCACTTTTTGGAAGCGCAAATGGACAGAATCATGTGTTTTGTTTCTTTCCGGAGCGTGGGACTGTCGGTCGCGATTTGTCCCAGTTCAGGGTCTTCCCAACCAACCAACACCAAACGGGCCTTGGGGGTCTTCGAACGATCATCCGGATCACTGCTCTTTTTCCAAACAAGTACCCATCTAGCTCTAATGATACGATCTCTAGAGATGCCACGTGAACTGCATATGGATGTAACCTTGTTATCTATCCATGATTGCCATTCTTTTTGCATTGCGGCCTCAAAGAGTTTCTTATCATGATCATTAAGCTTTCTGAAAGATACCTCGACCTTACGCTTTTTGGCTTGGGCAGTGTTTACTTCATAACACTCATCTAAGATACCCCAAAGGAAAAATGGATTATCTCTTATATCTTCAGGGTATATATTAAAGCTCAGCTCGAACACTTCCTCACGCTGCTTCCTGGCGGTGACAAGAAGATCTTCGTCTTCTGGGACAGGGTGCTCGACAGCACGTTGAAGTCGTTCCTCTACATCCATGGGAGCTTCAGTGGGTTCCACGTTAGTGGATGAGGCTTCTGGATCATTAGCATGTTCGCTAACGGAGTCGGGAACTACTTCTATGTCTGGAGCAGGCGCCACATCTGGTGATTCACCTGGTGGAGCAACTGACGGCGTGTAGTCTTCTTCTGGAATGGAGTCCAGTGTTTCTCGAGCTGCTCTTTTCATTGGGGGTTCATCTTCATGTTGTGGTTCAGGTGGATCATGGTGAAGACTTGCCATGCGAGGCGTTGGGCCTTCTTGCAGCATCTTGAGTGGGGGCCTGCCTTTACTGCGATTATCCCAGTACTCAGGTGACCTATAGTATCTTAAGCGAATGCGCTTTGGTGCAACGCCCTCCGAATCGAAGTCCTGTTTTCGTTTCCATGTTTCATCATCATCAGGTTCATCTTCGACATCGGCATCTAGCTCTAGGTCATCATCCTTAGGGATATCCTGTGTCAAATCATGGTATAAGCCACAACGATTAGACAAGTCATGCTCTGCACGGTCAAGATCTGGCGCAAGTCTTCCTTCTGTAAGATCTTTAGCTAGACGACGGAACTCAGCTTCATCCTCCGAGACAGGTCTCAGACCTTCTGGGCTACATTTATACAAATAACCATTGTAGGATACCCAAACGACTCGAGGAATATTGCTGTTTTGTGAGCTCTCTGTTCCGATGACCTTACATGGACCTAACCACATACCATGTCTTGTTGACAGCTGTCCACGACCACGCACTCGAAACATATAAACAAGTTGTCCAACTACATATGGACCCCTCATGGGACGGTTTCGATGCGCAATTGCCCTTCGCCATGCATCCTTAGCGTGCTCTTCTCTAAAGGCTCGAGCGGCAGTCTCGCGAAGGTGCAACTTCTCTGCAAAAGAAGGCATTGCAAGCACTTGTGACTGGATTGCAGGATTTTCTTGGTCTTCGATTTGATCCAGCATACCTGCATGACGGGGATTGATCCCTAAGAACCATTGACTCGGTGAAAAACCGTTCCTACGGAGATGTTCATTCCGAATGCTTGCGCAGATTTCAATGACTTCCTCTGCAGGTCGTGAGGTCGCTTGCCAACAGCGCTGGGCCATGCCACGAAGGATGCGATTTGCAATCTCGACTCTTCCAAGTTGCCAATGACTTTCTGCAGCTGCTAGTAAGAGCTGGATGTCGTTTTCAACAAGATAGGCCTGAAACTCTTTTGACAAGTTCTGATTTGTGGGATCCATGTATATGGTTTTGGGACAACCGTATGGTCTGGACCACACCTCATGGAAGGCTTGCGAGAGTCGATCGCCTGGCTTCATGACATATTGCTGTGCAAAATCAGTGGCCATGTCGACACATGTCAGGACTCTGTATTTAACTTCTTTAATTTGACCATTGGGCTGCATGGATTTGAGTTCTACCTGCACGAAATCTATCCCTACAATTTCATTGGGATGGTCCGGGCCCGGGATTCGTGTCTTACGGTAGCTTGGGGGTGTTTTCAATTCTTGGCAAATTGGACAGTTGAACTGTTTGATCGCCTGTTTGATCTCGTTTGAGGATTGACATCGAACAGCTAATCTCATCATTTGCTCATTTGACGCATGCCCTGTGTTAACATGCAACTTACGAATCATTGCTTTGGTCCTTGAGCTTACAGCTACATGTCCATGTCCTGGCATGTCGATGGCAGCATCCTGATCACCCTCTATATCCTGGTCGGCTTCTTCTGTATCCTCCGAGTTAACGGAGATGTCATCAAGCTCGCCAGCATGAATTTCTTCGGCACAGGTGATCAGTGCTTTTGACACGGTTCGGCAAAACTTAGCAGGATAGCTTTCGGCATATGATGTCAGGTTTCGTCCACGGAACTTCCCAACCAAGTGTGCATGCTCGTGCTTATGGTCACATCGACAGTTACGAAGTGCCTGAGCAAGTGCATTGGAACTGGTCACCAGACGGGTGGGTTTTAAGACAGGCAGATTTGTCTTGGGGCACCTGAGTCCTAATGCACATTGATCCACTCGTAAGTCATATACTTGACCTAATTTCAAGAGTTTCCATGCATCACTGGTTAGTGGGTTTTCCATGTGGGCGTCATGTCCGATGATCGAAACCTGGAAATGCCATGCTTCACTTGCAGCAAAAAGGTGCTTCCGACCGATCTGGCGTGCAGACATCACGGATTGCTTGGCTTCAGGACCACGGCTCATGTTGAAGCGGCTCCATGGACCCCATGCCTTACATGGAAATGCTATCCAGAGGTCTTTGGGTTTTACATACTCTAGAAGCAAAAGCATGAGTCTTCGATCCCGCACGCGTTCGAAGTCCTGACCATGTTCTAGGCCAAGTTTGATGCATTCCGTGCCTGTCGCTCTGGCGTGAACATCGCTGAGGTTTCCTCTTCCACAAAACATTTCAACAAGAGACACTTCTTTGTCCAATTTATATGCTTGGGAACCCAACCAGTCAACAAGATCACGCTTCACACCTTTTTGATCATCCTTAATCCTAGATCTACTCAATTCCCCAGTGAGAGTACGGAGTTGTCGAATTGACGATTGGAGCTTCTTTTGAACATCTGGGGGAATCGGTTCCATAACCAGGGGATCTGTCCAATCAGTTTCTTCGTACAAGATTTCCGTATCATTGACTTGATCATCTTCAAATGAAGCGCCCTCTGAATCACAATCCGGGGGTTCGCAACAGTAGCATGACCATTTTGGGGAAATGTCTGGTTTGACAGGTTCGGTCGGCTCAAGGTCATTGACCTGAAAGGCAAACAGTGCAATATTCACTTGATGGACCCTGCTGCGTTCAGCTCCTGCAGGGCGGATCGACCATGGTTGGCAATCGATGTGACCGTCGCCTGAGAGGGTCACCACCGTTCTCAAAAGAGGTTTCGACTCGGCTTCTGTTGGAATTCTTTCAAGACGGGGCCTATAAGCCACGAATGCTTGATCAATCTTTGAGGCACTTTCACCAAAGATGATGGTCAACTCATTTCGAAACCGATTTACATTTACCACCCCTTTTCGTGTGTTCTTCACAATATGCTGAAGAGACCGTTTTTGATCACAAACAGTACCCTGTTCAACAGCTTTCTTTGGGGGAGTTCTACGAACATAACTGTCGGCTTCGGACCTTGGTGCACTTATTTTATGCGTATCGGAGGTTACGACTTGGTAGGTATTGAGCTCATTATCATGTTTATACTCACACTCGTGACAGTCCTCATGATCGGCTTCAGGATGATCTTGTGAGGACATCGAAGATTTCAAAGGCACGACAACTTCCGGAGCAGGTTCACACAAATTCAGCAGGAGATGGCCATTGGCGGCCTGCCTGAGTGGCACCTGATCCATGCCATGCTTTTTGCTCGACAAGGTGAGTGTTGCCAAGTCTAGCTTGGCTTCCATGGCTTCAAGCACGCGGCGGCTGAGCAAGAAAGGAGCATTGCCCGGCACCACATAGGTGGTAATGGTGCCAGTGTCACAACCCAAACGAACTGTCCAGCGCAACCCTTCTGAGGTCTTGATCACACTGCCAGGGGAGAATCCTCGCAGCTCAACAGGCGGCAAGACGCATGTTTGAGGTTCTGGGTGACCACATGCCAACATATGCTTTTTCAGTTCGGTTGCGGTGTCATGTCCAACAATGCTTGTTGTACAACCTGTATCCAACACTGCGCAACCAACTGGCACCGACGCAATGTAAACTTCCCAATCCGACCCATGCAGCGGTACAAACACTTCTTGCACCATATATGCGAAGTCCGGTGGAAAGCTCGCTTGAGCCAGGTTAGCTTCTTCTCGTCGAGGAGGCTTGAAAGGAGGCTTTTTAGGTCCTCCAGGCTTTGTCGACGGCTTTCGGTCATACTTGAAGGTCTGTTTTTGCACAGGTGGCTGAGACGAGGCACCTGGCTGCTGCTGCTCATTCGGAGGAATGGCAACAACCGGATAGTATGGCTGTCTTTGTTTCTTCAATTCTCGAACTCGCTTTTTGGTTTCTTTGTAGGTCTTCATACCTTTCTTCACTTGAAGTTTCGCCTTTTTTCTGCAGCTCGTAGACTTCCTCGATTTCAGCATCTGTGTCACCAGGGTCATGGTGATCTTCAGCAGCATGAATCTCTTCGGAGACTCCAGAGTCAGCAGAATCGAGCCCTTCTGGACTCGTGGATTCATCATGCACCTCATGCACGTACTGACGCTCAGGCGGGTTGTCCTGCACTGCAAAGGTCTCCCGTCGCGGTGGAGGACGGTGAGGTCTTCGATCCAACTTTCGTTCATCAATCATAGTCTCATAGTCAGAGGCACGGAGGATTCTCTCGACATCATCATAGCGCGAGGAACCATTTGTGGCCCTGATCACAGATGCACGCTGTTCACGGGACAATCCATACTTCTTCATGAAGAGGTGGCCCAAGATGCTCTGGGGAAAGATGGGTCTTGGTTTCAAATGACCCTGCTCCAGCACACCAAGCATCTGCTGCATCTTCCTGTGTGACTTGTCCTTGTCAGCCTTAAACGATCCACGACCGTCACTGCCCAACTTGCGCTTCAAGTGACCAGCATCTCGACCGATCGAGGAAGGTGGCTTTGAACGAATTGGCTCTGTTGCAGCACGTTGATCATGATCCGACGACGAGGCGGCAGCCTCCTGAGCAGTTTCATGCTCAGACGTGTCAGGTGAACCTGAAGGGGCTGGCTCCTTAGGTGGAACATCTGCATCAGGTGGTTCTGAATCAGCAACGCTGCTATTGTCGTCAGCACCAGCATGTGATGAAGTCTTGCGAGTTTTCTGTTTCTTCGCTTTGTGCAGCTCACGCTCCTGTGCAATCAAGCTCTGTAAACGATCCAGCTGAGTGCGGAAGCGGGAACTGAATGAGGTCGGACCTTCATGAGGATGTCGCTTCAAGGAGAACAGAAAATTGTCAACAGCACCATGCAACTCTGTTTCTGGCAAGTATCTGTAATGCTTGTCCAATGCATGAATCACTGCTGTCCAACCCGTATCTTCTCGAAGCTTGTGTATCGGGATATGTTCTGTAGCACGCCAAGCTTCCCCAGACAAACGACCAAGCAGCTTTGCTCCAGCAAGGTGAGCATTCTTATCCTCAACTGATGCAACTGCCAACAAGGTTCGCCGCCGGAAATCACGGTATCCGCTTGGATTTCCGTCGAAGCTCAGATTGTAGAACATGTCTTTTCCAGAGTCAACGGCCATGGAGGAAAAAGGGTCTTCAGGGCAGAACGCCCTCACAAGAGCTACGAAGATCGGAGCTCGGAGGAAGCCTCGGATGAGGCCAGGGCCGCGGAAGGCCCTCACGAGTGGAGCAGGCTTGGAGCGACCTGCTCCGCTACCATGTAGAAATGGTAGCGACGGCAAGGCAAGAGAGGAGTATCTGGAAGATACGTGGAAATGAGATTCCACCACAATCGCCCTTCACTAGGCGCACTCTTTTCTCATCCCATCGCGAGCGCAGCGAGTGTCATGGCTACCAAGGGGCCCCTTGTAGAGGCACAGCCAACGGCAGCGGGAAGCGGAATTCATAGTCTTCAACCTGGCAAGGTGCACGATCGTCCGATCACCCTTCCACTTTCACATATATACATATATCCTTGGTGTTTGTTTGGCAGGTGCCAGAATACCAAGTCTATCTGAATCCAATCACTACCTGATTGCTTTTCTGTTGGGTATTCTTGGGGGTCCAGTTTTTCCAAAAAGCCTCCGAGTACATCTGAGATACTGGCTCGCTTCACTCTCTCAGACAGCACTCCCCCCCGTCCGCATCACTCTTCCGACCTACCTTCGGTCGGGTTCCGATGTGGACGTCAGCCGGGCGTTTGATGTCTCCGATCTCTAAGATGGGCATCGCCTCGGACATCATCCAAAAAGCGGCCTTGAACTTCGTGGTGGCCGTCATGGCGGCCACCACCGCTGTGAAGGGAGGGACCAAGCTTCATACGAGCATCATCCGCCGCTGGGTGGCAGTGGGTTTAAGGCCTTGGTGGTTTTGGCCATGCGGCAGGTCAAACAGAAGAGGTTCGGGACTGCAGGAAGGCTGCTTTTTTTGTTGCCCAGACGAGGGCATTCTACCATACCAAGGCTAAGTATTTGCATCTCAGCCCAGCTGGACTTGCGAGCTGCACGTTGACCGGCTTTTTCTTGCACAGCACTGGACCGACGACCGACTCCGATCAATCCGACTCGACCAGACTCACCGAATCGGGATTGCCACTGAATTGGGATTGAACTCTGTGCAGCTCTATGCTGCGTGTTTGTGTGTTCAGGGCTGCCAGGAAGGTGGACTGTTTCTTTAGGGTGCTATATAATTATTTTGGTGAAATTTCACCATGCAGCATGCATCGTGCAAGGTCTTGGAACGCAATGGATTGCAGCTTGCCACTGGGCTTCCCATTTCTCCGGGTTTTTGACAGGCTGAGACCCCAAAACGCGAGAGAGAGAGGGAGAGAGAGAGAGAGAGACGCGGCCTCACAGGTTAAACTTCATCCAAGGTGAGGCTTGTTGGTTTTAAAATGGTTGTTGTGGCAATGCCTGATCGGCAAACGCTCCAGGGCTTATTATTGTGTATATTTACAGGTACATTATATATATATATATATTTATAGGTAAACCACAACCTGGAGCAGAACTTGGAAGAACAGCTGGCTGAGAATACTCGACAAGCCTCCCCCACAGCAATTGGCTCATGACAAATCAAGCTTCCACATTATTGCTCAAGCTGAGCAAAGTGATCTGGCCAAACCTTGCTTTGGTCTTCTTGGGGTGATCAATTACACAGAGTTGAGGCTCTGTCCTGATGGAATTCAACATGGAGACGCTTCCAGGCTTTGACTGGTCTGAAAAGGAGAGAATCGATGAATGTATGATGCTCATGATGTCAGTCAATGGCAAGATTATGTAAAAGCACCACCCTGCCAGGTTTTTGATGGTACACGAGGTCTATAAATCATAATCAGCCTTGGGTGGGGCTGGCATATCCGTGTGTACATTATCATTGTGTAGCGATCAATCCTTTCTTCCAGATGACGCTGAAACTGCAGTTGAGTGGGAAGTACACAGCACTCTTCCCTCCAACAATCATGGAAGTGAACGATTCCCGGTTTGTTAAGGAAAACCGCCTTGCAAGAGATCATGTTCCACTTCCATGTTGGAAGGAGGATTAATTACTTGAGAATGTGGAGCCTTGAGGAGATTCTTTTTAGTAGTATTTCCATATAATATATGGGCAGGCACTTTGGAACTCCTAGGTATATGGACATGACAAGGCCAGGCCAGCGATGGCCATTCAGCTGGTGAGAACCCGTTCCTCAAAGGCTCTCCAAAGAGCTTCGCTCTCCAAAGACTGGGCGGAAGAATTGACAACAACCACTTGCTTGGAGGTCGTTGAAACCCAGTGGAAACAGCCTTCCCATCCATCCTATTTGGGCAGCGGATTCTGGGGGCTGCAGTGCCTGCAGGACGCTGAGATGCAGAAGCTGGCGGCCTGTGCCGAGTCCAATAGCACTGAGTGCGACACCAAATCCGAGGCGTGGAATCGAATCAAGGAGGGGCGCCTTTCTGGGAGGTCTTTTTTCGGTCCGAAGCAAGCCTGGAGCCTCATTTGGGGAAGGTTCTGGATTTATATATATACACATATTTTTTTCTACATACATGCGTATGTATTATATTAACCCATGTGTTCTTTTCTGACTGACCCGAGTAAGTTTAGATTTGGATGAATATGCGCAGGGTGTGCACGTATTGCATAACGCACACACACATATAAAAAATAATGTACAATATTATATATATATACACGTGTATGCACACATACATATACATGTAGCCTATGTACCATAATGTATGATACATTCCAACCTGTATAGAGATAGACGGGCCACAACTTCTGCAGGTCACCAAGTTCCAAAAAAAGCGCCCGGTCCTTCTCCATCAAGTCTTGGATCCCCCTTCTTGGCCAGTGGTTGGTTGCCATACATCATTTTTCTATCAGGATCTTTCGTTCTTTTCTTCGAATAATCCCCTTTCGTCTCAAGCGTTTCTTCCTAGCATTGACATTTGACATGGTATTGGGGGAAAGTTGAGGGGGAACTCGTGATTTGCCCGTGCAAACCCGTGAAGAACCAATGGGTTTAATTTTGTGTTATTGGATCGGTTTGTGGTGTCCAAGGCCACCCCCTTGCCAACTTGATGGTGTTCAGGTGGTTTTGATGGTGAGAACTCCAAACATTTGGAACTCGTACTGTTGCATCGCTGTCCGCGCGCGCCTACTGCGCGTCGTGCAGTGAACTTGCCAGGGCCTGAAGATGCCGTGGCCACCAGAGGCCACAGCCGCGATGAACAGCGTTTTATCCTTCACCAGCCTCCTGGTGCCGGGGCGCCCGAGAAGTTCACACGGATACTCTCCCAGAATGTCGAAACCAGAGCTGATGTGAGAATAATGACCTAACCGTAACGAATCTAATTATCCTAGCTCTTGTGGATAAGTTCCACTTGATGTTTGGATTCCTGTCTGACCCTATCAATATAATTCACTATAATTCCATATCATATCTCTATATGACCGTCTACTGTAGTCGGACCTTCTAGTAACCCCATGGACAGATCATCCCGCTTCCCTCTTGCTGCTGCAGAGGGGCTGGAGTTGTCAAAGATCCAGCTGTACATTCCGGTTCAATTTTGAGATTTGTTTCTGGTTTCCCCTTCCGAATGGCACATATTGAGAGCAGGTGTGCTTGAGACAAGCATAATTAGCTAGTGTCAATCATTCCCAAATGTTCTTCAAAAGAACTAGCCCACAGCCTTGGCAAACTGCAAACTTTCAGCATCAGACAAGAAAGGCACTGGGGCAAGGACAGCACTTTGATGAACAATGTACTGTAAATAGCCGACATTTTGTATACAGAAGGTGCTTGACTTGTATAACTGTATAATCAAGAGGTTTCAGATGAGAGGTGAAAGCTGTATATGAAGGAAGGGGAGTTCAACCAAGGATGACAATGATTTTGTCTATGAAGAGAATGCGTGTCGAAAAGAGGGAACTTGAACACATGATGCACTGAGTAATTAAACAAGGAAGACCTTAAAGGGGACCACTATTTGGTTTCTAAGGATGTGCAAGCAAGAAGCAGAAAACTGTATAGAGACTGTAGCTAGAAGTGTTTAATGTCAGAACTGCAATTTACATAGATTGAAAGGCCGTGAAGTGCATGAATTAAGTTTGTCAATAGCAATGTAATTATATATAAACAATGCGTACAAAAATGTAACAAGTAAATATAGGGATGTGAGTTTGAAAACCGAAACTCGACCCACTTCGTTTGCACTCAATATGGATTTGATGTACTGTGGCCATTCCGACCCAATCTCCATTTCATCCACCTAAGTGGTGGGACTTCGATCGACAGCCGATGGCGCAAAACAGGTGACCGACCTTGAGAGCGATCACCAACCGTTCGACTCGTGAAACATCGTTTGTTCACGAAGCTACTTGGTCACTACAAGCTACCAAGTGACATTGGTAGCGGAGCTGCCGATCACAGGCGGCTCCCTGCCACTCCGCTACAACTACTTCACTGTCCCCTTCCACGCCCACTTCACCGACAACGGAAACTTCACCCACAACCTTGCTTCCTTCTTCATAGACAGGAGCAGTTCTCTCACCCGAGCTCTTTCTTGCTGACGGGCTCTACCTTGCTCATTGAAGAGCTCTATCTTGCTTGCAGTGGCCTCTGAGCCCTACCTCCTTGAGTATGTCCACAGAAAAGAAGGCCGAGCTTGACACCTTCTCGGCCAGAGACAGTTTCATCCCGCTGTTTGATGGCTCCCTGACGGGATATCGCAAATGACGGAAGAGGATCTTGGCCTACTACAAGAAAATGACCTTGTCGAAACGACAAGGGGAAGCGATCTTGAACCTGCTGGGCAGTTTGTCCGGCGTTGCTTGGAAATTGTGTGAAGACTTCAACCTGGACAAGGCCGAAGACCCCAGCGCCTTGGATGAAATTCTGAAGACGCTCGATGGATCGTTTCAGTACGATGCCAATGTGGAGATGCCGGCCGGCTTCGCCTCGTACTTCGAGCACCTGTCCAGAAAACCAGGACAGACTCTCCTGAACTTCGTCACTGACCACGACGATCGGTTGAAGCAGATTGAAAAGCATGGAGTGAAGCTCCCAAGCCAGATCCAAGGCTGGTTCTTGTTGGCAAAGGCAGCACTCACCCGTGAACAGCGACAAATGATCATGACCCAGGCCGGGTCCTTGGACAGAGCCAAAGTCCAACAGGCCATGTTTGCCATCCTGGGCCAGGTCAGATGCTGCGTGACCGCTGGAACCGAGCGAACTCTGGAAAAGGCCGCTCCTACTATGCAGGTGATGATGAAGAAGCAAACTATGAATGGGATGAAACCCTGTACGAAGAGGATGATGCCTACTACATGGAGGATGATGGTAACTATGATGACACCTGGTGGGAGACCTTTGACTCCGACGCCGTCTGCTACCAGGACGACGGCGACGAACCTGAGCAGGAATTCAACACCGAAGAATACGATGAAGCTTATGCCTCGTATGTTGATGCTCGCAAAAGGTTCAATGACCTAAAGCTCAGCCGAGGATTCCTGCCGGTGGTTGCCCTCCAAGATTCTGCTGCCTCCTCAAGCTCGACGACTTCTCAGCAGAAGCCTTACAAAGGCATGGGAAAAGGGAAGAAAGGAAAGAGTAAGGGCAAAGGAAAAGGGTCCACCTACCGTTCTGATCGCGCACCTGCCAAACGACCAGATCCAAAAGGAAGGGCCCGATCCGCTCTGGCACCAGCCTGCATGAGGTGTGGTTCATCATCTCACAAGACCGCTCAGTGCACACAAACAAGCTCGCCAAAGCCGGCGACCACGGCCACTGGCAAACGCCAAGCTGTTGAAGGTATGGCCATCCTGACTGATGGGACCACCATGGTGATGCTTGAAGATGCAGCCGGCCATGAACGTCCTGATTGCGCTATGATTGACCCGTGACCCTGGTGCCTCGTCCTTTTTGATGGGATCAGGACCGCTGATCCGCTACATGCACCATCTGAAACAATTGGGCTATGACTCCTCACAGCTCAAGCTTCAGCGCTGCCAGCGGACGTTCCACTTTGGAGGAGATCACCAAAAGGTCAGTCCTTGGGCCGCTACCGTTCCAGTCTACCTGAACGGCACTCATGGACTCCTACAAGGTTTCGTCTTGAAGGGCGAAACTCCAATGCTGGTCGGCAGGCCTATCATCAAGGCCCTTGACATGTCGATTGACATCGCCCGCCAGCAGATCAAGTTTGGTGACAACGACTGGCAAGATGCTGTACTTGGTCGCCATGAAGAATACTTGTTGGACCTCACAGCAACCTTTGAGACCGAGCAGTTGGATTGGGAACCCACCTTCGACCTTCAGCTCGATGAAACCCTCGGTGAACTTGGCACCTTCGAAGAGTTCCTCACCGAAGAGCACCTCTACCAAGTCGAGGAGGAGCTACCGCCTGAAGAGACAAGCCCGATGACGGCTAAGCACTGGAAGACCCTGGTCATGTTGACCCAAGCACAGCTGAACTCCACGAATGCCCTCATCGACCAAACGCTGAAGGAGGAAACAACACCACGACCCCGTGTGCTATGGGAAGTGTATACTGGCCGCGCACGACTCTCAAAGATCGCAGCTGCAGTTGGCATGGTCACCAAAACGTTCGGCTACGAGACAGGTTGGAACTTCGCGCTTCAATCGCACCAGCGCGCCTTCCTGAACCTCATGGATGAAGAGATGCCGGACGAAGTCTACCTGTCGCCCAGCTGCGGACCTTGGTCAAGAATGCAGAACATTACCGCTACGTCTCAGCAGCGGCAAGAGATCCTCCGTGGCCTTCGTGAATGGCACCATCGCACTCACCTTCAGTTTTGCAAGAAGGCCTACTTGAAGCAGCTTCACTCCGGACGACATGGCCACATTGAGCAGCCTACTTCAGCTCTTTCTTGGGACACCTCAGCACTGCAGTCCCTTCCTGGCTATCGGGCACGACATCATCAATGTCAATATGGTGCCGTTTGCATGGATGCTGATAGCATTTGGAAGCCAGCCAAGAAGGACACCACCATTTTGACAACCAAGCGCACTGTTGCTGAGTCCATGTCTCGCCTTTGTTCCGGAGATCACGACCATTGTCGACTCGAAGGCTACATGAAAGGACACGGAGCTCACCGTACTTCCTTCATGGAGGACTATCAGCCGGCATTCGCTGCGACTCTGGCAACGGCTCTTGCGAGTTCAGAACGACCTCAAGCCTGGGAAGATTCCTATGCAGTCCGGGAGCATACTCAGTATTTGGGCAAGATTGTTGATCTACATGCTGAAGGAAAACAAAATGCCCTTCGAGTCATCCAGAAGCTCCACAAAAACCTTGGACATCCCTCGGCCCAGGCACTTGTCGACCTCCTACAGACCAGAGGCGCCTCGAAGGACGTGCTGGCAGTTGCTGAGAACTATCTATGCAGTTCATGCCTTCGATACAAGAAGCCGAACCAGCCGGCTCCAGCGACCACCAACAAAGCCGAGCACTTCAATCAGGCCATTCAGGCCGATGTGTTCTGGATTCGCACTGACAAGAAGAAATGGCCTATCCTCGCCATCTTGGACTGTGCCACCAAGTACCAAGTCGCCTGTCAGGTTCACTCTGAGCAGACTCAGGACTACATCAAGTCTCTTGAGCGACATTGGATTGCACACTTTGGCCCTCCAGAAGAACTCATCACTGACGAAGGACGTGGCTGGCTAAGCAACGAGTTCATGGATTGGTCTGATGAACACAGCATCAGTCACAAAGTTGCACCAGGTGAGGCCCATGAACGGCTTGGTCAAGTGGAACGACGTCACTCCGTTCTTCGCAAGGCCATTGAAGTGTATATGCATGACCTACAGCTGGAAGGCCGAGACGGCATTCGACAGGCCCTGACGTACATCCTCCCACAGCTCAATGCCCAGCCGACTGTTGCTGGATTCTCCCCGACTCAATGGGTTCTTGGATATCAGCCAGCTCAACCTGGTCTTTTGCACTCCGGATCCTGTGCTCTACACGGCCATGAAGACTTTGAGAAGCACCTTCATCAACGCAATGTCGCCAAGACTGCAATCCTCCAGGCCGAGACTGACAGGAAACTGAGGCGCGCTCTTCTGAGACGCTATGCCGGAGTCAACCAAAGACTCTTAGCTGGTCAGCGATGCTTCTACTGGCGGGATGCACAGCAACATGAGCTCTGCAAGATCCGCTGGCGAGGACCGGCAAAAGTTGTTTGTGTCGAGGAAAAAGACGGAAGTCCACACGTCTATTGGTTGGCACACAAGACTC